GGTCCATGGTTCCTCTTGGGAAAGCCATTTATTTTGCAAAGATGGTCTTCAAAGTTCAAGCCAAAACGCGATGAGGCTGCTCCTATTCCGATCTGTATCAAGATTGTGGACTTCTCGCTTCTGCTTTGGACCCCAACTGGCATATCCAATATTTCGAGCTTCTTTGGTATTTCGATTTTCGTCGACTCCTTTACTGCAAATCGCTCTAGATTGACTTTTGCAAGGGTATGTGTTCTTATCTCCAAAGACTCTACTTTACCTGATGAAATTCCAATTGAAATTGATGGTGAGGATCTTGTTTTGAAAGTTTTATACGACTGGAAACCGGATAAATGCGAGGGTTGTGGATCTTTAATTCATCCTTTCTCCCTCTGTCCTAAAAATCCTAACCCGCAACCTGTCCTTCCTCCCCAGCGCCCTAAAAATCGTGGTCGGAGCTCCTCCATACCTCATTCTACCATGCCTCACAGATCTCCATCCATCCTGCCTCCGACTAAACCCACCAATAAGGTTGTCAACACCGAGACTAACAGTTACCTGCTATTCTCTCTGGATAGCCTCTGCCTGACCCGTCCAACTCTGCTTAGGTTCCTTCTGTTCAGAATATTTTACCTCCACCGGCTAAAAATCCCCCAATTCCAAACCTTAACTCCCCCTCAGAAGCTTCTACCTCTTCTGATTTACCTGCTTCCCCATGACTTTTGCAATCTCCTAAAATCCCTCTCTTAAATAAGTTTGCTTCTCTTCAAACTAATGACCCCTTACCTATAGACTCATTGGAGACTGTCTCTGAGTCTGAATCCGCCTCTTGCACCAATTCAGCGAATGACACCTCAGTTTCTAATAACCAAGAAAAAAAATTGTTCACAACACTAGATCATTTGCTGATAAAGGAAAGACACCCAACAAGTCAAAACCCCATAAAGGGAAATCGGCCAAGAAGGCCAAATCTCAATTTTCTTAATGTCTTTGCCAACTTTTGCTAGTTGGAATGTTAGGGGTTTTAATAACCTGGACAAAGTGAGTTTTTGCATGTCCTTGATCAACTCTCATGATCTCAAGCTTTTATGTATTTTGGAAGCCAAAATATCAACATCCTCTGTTGATGATCCGTGGTTCTTGCGTTCTCATCATCTCTTTGAGAACGAAAGTAGTTGCAATAATTTTATGGATTCTACACCTGGTAGGATTTGGATTAAATGGGACAACTCGGCTTTCTCATTTCAACAAATTTTCACCTCTTCTCAATTAATCTATGGTATGCTTTCGGTGGGATCTTTCCCACCTATTTTTCTTTCTGTCATATATGCAGCTAACTCTGTGGAGGACCAAAAAATTCTTTGGGATCAATTAATGAATTCTTCCCCTACATTGGATCAACCTTGGGTTGTTATGGGGGATTTTAATTACTGCCGTTATGAGTCTGAAAAAGTGGGGGGCTCTATTATTACTAGCAGTAGATTGGGTGAGCTCAACAGCATGATTTTTAATTGTGGGGTGCAAGACATTACCTCCATAGGTCTCTTCTTCACTTGGTTCAATCAACGGGTGGATAACCCCATCCACATCAAACTCGATAGAGTCCTAATCAATAATGCTCTTCTGGATTTCCTGCCTAATGCCTATTACACTGTTGAACCTCCTCTTGGTTCGAATCACTCATCGCTGATTTTCAAATATACTCATCACAAGCCGATTTCTGCTCGTTTTATGTTCAAAAACTTCTGGATTAATATGGATGGGTTTTGGGATGATGTTTTGACTGCCTTCTCTTCTAGGTCCCCTAGAAGTTCCATGGCTTCTTTTTGCCACAGTTTACATTGGCTCAAGAGAACGCTTAAAAATAGGCATTGGGCTTCTTCTTCCTATCTTTCTAATGCCTTATTAGAAATGAAAAGAAAACAACATCAATGTTTGATTGACATCCAATCTCATCCCTTGGATTTGGAGCATAATCATTATCTGAAGAAAATTAATGATGATATTGCTTCCTTGCAAGCTCAACGGACATCTTGGATTGCTCAAAGGGCTAAAGCCTCATGGCTTACACATGGGGAAGATGACCTTAGTTTTCTTTTTGTTAAGATTAGAAGCAGGAATAACAAGAACAACATTAAAGAGATTACTACTTCTGAAGGGCATTTTACCAAATTTCAGGACATTTCTAATGCTATTGTTAAACATTTTGAGGGCTTGTTTAACACTACCCATACAAATCTTGTTTTGCCTTTGAAAATCCCTCATGGAAATTTGGTTCCTACTCATTTTAAAGACATGTTGGTGGCTCCTTTAACTTTGGGGGAAGTGAAAACAGTGGTTTTTTATGGGAATGAGAACTCTTCTCCTGGCCCTGACGAGTTTACCTATGCATTTTATAGGAAATCTTGGCATCTCCTTGGGCTGCAAATCTTCAATGTGGTAAACAATTTTTTCACCACTAGTTCTCTCCCTAAAGGGGTTAAGGTGACGGCTATTGCTTTAATTCCTAAAAGCACCCATGCTTTAAGCATTAATGATTTTAGGCCTATATCTTTGCAATGTGTTATACAAAATTATGGTTAAAATCATTGCCAATAGAATGAAATTGGTCCTTCCCTTTATTGTTCATGAAAGCCAATCTAATTTTATTGCAAATCGATGCTCCACGGATAACATCATACTTGCATATGAGATTCTTAGAGAATTTAAGGGATCTAATAAGAAATTTTGCACAAAGTTGGATATTAAAAAGGCTTTTGACTCTGTCTCCAGGGAATTTCTCATTGCCCGATTGCTCCAAAAGGGATTTCCTGAAGTTTTTGTTGCTTGGATCAAAGATTGCATTTCTGATGTTCATTTCTCTGTCTGTTTTAATGGTTCTCTTGAGGGATTTTTTAAATCTACTACTGACCTCAAGAAAGGTTGCCCCCTTTCACCCCTGTTATTTTGCATTGTTATGGATGACTTATCCAATATTCTCATTAACAATTCTGACTCCCTCAGCTTTATAGGCATTAATTGCAAAGACTCTTACATCAATCATTTGATGTATGATGATAATCTTTTGGTGATTGGTGATTCTTCTAGAGATAATGTTGTTCAACTTAATAGATGTTTACACCTCTTTGGCTCTCTATCCGGCCTCCACATTAATGCTAATAAAAGTGCAATTATTTTCTCTAAAAGTGGTAACGAAAATCAATCTATTTGTGATGAGCTTGGAATCCAACATGTCAACCATTATCTCACATATTTGGGTCTTCCCATCTCCTCAAAAAGACTTAAATCCTCTCAGTTCCAACCACTACTGAGCAAAATTATTGCTCTACTTGCTGGTTGGAAAAACAAGTTTCTTTCTTTTACAGGTAGGGTTCAATTCCTTAAATTTATCATCTCCAACACCTTAGCTTACTGGATCAGGGGTTCTATTATACCCAAAGGATGTTGTGCAACTTTAAATAAACTATGTTCGAGATTCTTATTCCACAACAAATTGTCGGATAGGAAGTTACATCTTATCTCTTGTTTCAAAGTTACCCTTCCTAAAGCTGCTAGTGGCCTTAGTATTCCTTCTCTTGATGCACTTAATTTTGGTGTTTGTTGTTCCATTATTGGCATATTTTATAACTCTCAAAATCTTTTAAGTTGTTGGTACAAAGCCAAGTATACCTCCCCCTAGAAACCTCCCTCTCCTTCTGCCTCCAAATTCTGGCTTAGAATTTCTTTTGCGGCCTCTAGGATTACGGAGATGATCTCTTTCACTGTGTCTCCTATCAGTGATTTTTCGTTCATGTGGGATCCTTGGTACTATGGGAGAGTGATTTCTGCGGCTTTTAATTACCAAGGATTTGATGATATGCTGGTTAGAGATTTCATTATTAATGGCATTTGGCATTTATCATTGACTATTCCCACGGTTATCTCTAACTCCATTGAGGCTGTGAACATTACGATTAAAAATGAGATTCTTTGGAATGGCAGTTCTAACTGGAATTTTAAAAACTTTACTAAGTTTTTTTACTCTACTACTCCTATGGTGGATTGGCATTCCTCTATCTGGCACAAAAATCACATGCTCAAATTTGCTTGTTTCACCTAGATGGCTGTGATTGGTAAGCTAGAAACTGCAGATAACCTTATGTTAAAAGGAATTCAGGTTCCTATTAACTGCTCTTTGTGCACTGGTACTAGTGAGACTCATTCCCATTTATTTTTTGCATGTGATCTATCCTTTTACATACTAAAGATTGTTTTATCGGATCTTAATGGCTTTTTCCTTAGACCCACTTTACTGCGGTTATTTGATTACTATGAGAATTCTGTGTATTACAACAATACAGAAAAGGATATTTGTTTCTTGATTATTAGCCATACTATTTATCATATTTAGAGAGAAAGGAACAACCGCCGTTTCTTTTCTGTGAGAAACAATGTGCTAAAATCATTTGCAATATTAGGGAGGCTATCAGATTAAAAGTATCAAAATGGAAAAACAAAAATATTTTACTGCAGAGGTTTTCGGGCATATAGTTCCCTTTGTTTTTCTGTCATGCTGGTTGTTTACTTGTAGCATCAAGGCAGCAGGTCATTATTTTTTGGCTGGATGTGTTCTCTATCTCCGGGACAGTATTTTTTGGCCCAATTTTGGTTATTCTTTACAATTCAGACCTGGGAAGATGTTTTTTGGGATTTTGGCCATTTTTCTCTTATGGCAAAATCCAGTAGGTTTGCG